GACATGTCTTGTCAGGATCATCCAGTTTCTTTTTTGTTCTGTCTTGATTTGAGCAGGCAACTGGTGACATGTCTGTTTTGTGGACAGAAACCTCCTTCGATCTGCTAGCTCTCCATGGAGGTTTATCCATTTTGTTGGAGTCTGTTTGACCTGTAAGCATGAAACTTGGGTCATTTCTAATCTGAGCTTGCTGGTAAAGAAAGGCATCGAAGACAGAAAAAGGAGGAAATGCAGCTAGATGTTATTGTTTATAGGATCCATGGGACTGCCACTTTTCCTGTAAGCCATTTGGAAGTTTTTGAACGATGCGGTCGACACCTCTGGCTGTGTCGAGATAGGAAAGGCCAGGAAGATCTCCCTCTGCTTTAGCGGCATCCAATCCATCAACAAGTCACTAAGATCCCTCAGTTTTGAGTAATCTTTGTTGCTGATTCTGGGGAAACTGTCTAGTTTCTGGAACAGAGCTTTCTCGATTACCTCTGCTGAGCCATAGCATTCATCCAGTTTGCTCCATATCATCTTCAGCCCCTTTGCTGGCTGGTTTATATGTATGGATCTTATGCGCTTTGCATGCTCAGCAGACTCTTTTCCAATCCATTTGACAAGAAGATCCATTTCTTCAGTACATGTCAGATCCAAACCTCTTACTGCATTCAGAAAAGAATGCCTCCAAGCCCTGTAGCTCTCTGGCTGATCATTAAATTGAAGCAGACCAGTAGTGAGTTCACGTCGTGCTAGAAATCTCACAAAGTCTGTCATGTGGGAATCAGCAGCATGAGTGGGCTGTTGCATATAACTGTGAGGGTGAAAAGACCTAGCATTGGTGTTGCTATGTGGAGAATAAAGTATTGATTGGTTCTGTGGACAGGACGGAAGACATTCCTCCTCATTTTTGAATGTAACACTGTGAAGAGGCTGGCTGAACTGGGTTGGAGTGCAATCCACGTTTGATATAAGGAAAGGGTTCGGAGACTCCTGTTTACTTGGGGTGTGGGAGAAGTCAAGAGTATTTGCAGCAGGTGGAATAACGCTTTCAGGGTTGTATACCGGCTTGACCATAGATGGCTGTGTGTGTGACCACTTTGCCTCATCCTGAAAGGGTGGATCCTCCTCTTGTGCTAAACTCCTTTCCTCACATATCTTAGCTTGCTCCTCCACGTAATCTTGTGTGCGCTGGGCAGACACAAATGGTGATGAAGCAACTGGGAGCTTACAGCTGAGTCTTCCTTCACTAATAGTGGCTGCTGCCTCAAGTGCCTCTGCCTTTACTGTGGCAACAGCAATTTCCTTTTCTATGGTCAGCATCTCCATTGTCGCTTCTAGCTGAACTTTCTCCATTCTCATTCTGATCTCTTTCTCAGTGTACATCAAGCGTGTTTTGGCTGCTTCAGCTTTAGCCCTGGCTGCAGCAGCAGCAGCACTAGTGGATGATGCTCTGGAGCTTGCAGACACAGAGGCATGAGACCTAGTCTTAAGGTTTGTCTCCATTGTGCAGATGAGCTATGTTTATTCTCAGTCACTAAAGTAGTTGATGTGTGATGGCTGTTAGCACAATCTTCTAACTGCGTTGCTTGTCTGTTAAATGGCGTCTTTTCACTATACTGTCTTTCTCTCTTACTGACTGAGAGCACTAACAGCAAGTGTCAACATTTTCTTTACATCACGACTCTGAAGACAGTTAATGTTGTCCACAGGTTTAATGACGTTGGAAGTTGTGAAACTACGAATAAAACATACATCTCGAATTAGTTGAGTGTTCTAATCATTGACATTTACACGAATAAGTTGCTCCCTGTAACACTGAATAGCTAGGCTAACATTATCAGTGCATGATAAAAGCTTGCTTACAGATGCTATATTCAACTAAGCAAAATAGCATAGAAACAGCATAAACTCAACAAATATCTAAACATACGTAAGGGTAAACATTATAGTAAGAATATACATACAGACGATGCCACGAAAGACAACAGATGATAGCAGATGCAAACAGATTGTGGAGAAGTTCATCAGCATGTAACTGAACAATGAACACACTTTCTGGTTCCTTTACTTCTTGTGTGATGACACCAGAACCTGTATGCCAAAATCCGCCACTAGGTGGTAGGAAAACGCTACATGTAACAGGCTGTTACAGCACAGAGATACTGCTGGCATTGTGGATTCTGTTAGGCATCAGGACATTTTGGAGATAATTAAGAAAATGATGGCTTAACTGATACATCCAATACATTGGCTGAAAATATCAGTTGATATTGAGGTGCCACAGATTTGTCAGTACCAGCAAAAATCACGCTGATACTAATATTTAATAGTATGACAAAGTACCAATATTTAATAGTATGATACGCTACTGACAGTAGTCACCAGATTGCACTGGTTAATCTACATACTGTCCAATGACAGCCTTCTTTTTTTTTTTTTTCTCTACAACCCCTTTGGGATGCTGTGCAAAATGTAAACAAAAACAGAATGCAATGATGTGCAAATCATTTAAACCCAACACAGTGGTAAACATGCCCTGTCCCAACTTTTTTAAAATGTGCTGCTGGCATCAAATTCAAAATGGCATATATTTTGCAAAAAACAATGACATTTCTCAGTTTCAACATTTGATATGCTGTCTTTATACCATTTCCAATTAAATATAGGGTTTAAATGATTTGCACATCATTGCATTCTGTTTTTATTTACATTTTGCACAGTGTTCCAACTTCTTTGGAAATGGGGTTGTATGTAAAATTATTAATTCAATATTGTACATTATATATTATATTATATTATATTCAATATAGTACATTTATTGTAAAATCCTCTTCTCTATTCATATTATTTTGGTAATGTTATTGTTTTGCTATCCGGTGTCGACCAGAGGAGAATGGGTTCCCCTTTTGAGTCTTCGTTCCTCTGAAGGCTGCTTGCTCTTACTCTTAGTTTTTCCTTGCCACTGTCACCCCTTGGCTTGCTCACTGGGGCTTGGACCTGGATTTTCTGTAAAGCTGCTTTATGACCAAGCCTGGTGGAGCACTATATACATATACTACTAGTATAAGTGTGAATATACTTGACTTAACTAGTATGTTTTATGCTGTAAATGAAACAAGACACAAATGTAACTTTTAGCAAAAGGATAACATTTTATAATGCATAAAAAACCTTTCTATGAAAAGAACTGATGAAAAATAAGAAACTAAAACTAAATATTTTTCATCATTTTGAATAATATTGGTCAATGTAATATAATATATCTTGGTCATCTGGATGTTCCAGAAGTACACTGATCAAAAAGGTTCCTAGATCCAGACTAAAAGAGTTCGCTAAACTATTAGATCATAGACTTTTATACTGACCATGCCAGGCCCTTAAGCAAAATCCTTTGCAAATCTGTATGCTGAACAGAAAAGGAAAAAAAGACTCAAACCAAAGGCCTGTGTGTGATATCAGGAAATAGTTTGCATGTATGATTGGCTTCAGATCCTTTCATATGTACTGTCCCACCTTACTGAACATCTTAGGAGAAAAGTGGCAAAGAAAAAACATAAAGAGCATAGCCGGAAACTATAAACTAGCTGTCAACACTAACTCATTTTCTGACAGTATACTGACATATATTGTCCACTGATTTATTTAGCCAGCTGTCCATACCACAGTATTGCCATAATAAACAGAAATTGAGATCTATAAAATGTGCAAATGAATAATCTCAAGACTAACAAAATTATGTACAGCAGTGGAGCTGGGTTTTCTGGACTAAAGCAGCACTATCAAATACATTTGAGTTGAGTTGGTCTGGCATTTGTGATCCAGGAACAATATCCAACATCAGTACCTGACCTTACTAATGCTCTTGTGACTGAATGCAATAAAATCTTCACAGCAATATTCTACGGTAAACTCCCTATTAATAGCATTGTTTTCAAAAGAAATGTAGATGAGCAGGTGTGTACAAAATTTTGGACATGTAGTGCATTTACTCCAGAAACTGTCAGCCTCAGTTGCTACATCAAATTTAAGACATCTGTTTGACCAGCTATAGAACAGTGATGGAGGTGAACTTTATTCTGATACTTCTATAAAAATCATCCATGCATTGAAGGGCTTTAAAGACTACAAATTAAGAACATGCAGCATGCAGAGTGTTAATGAAATCTGACCAAAGTTGCAGTATCCTATGTGATCGTTCCATTAGTTAGAGCTCTCTTAAACAAACATTTATAAAACTAAATGGCAAAGACAGTAGCTGTCTCACCTACTTAGAAATCACATACTACATCTACTTCGGTACATAGCTTAACTGACTTATTAGTTCCTGTGATGAACAACTTGCCTGGGAGACAACAACATTCATTTTATGTTCCAGTGTAACTACATTTGTGACCACATTCACATTTCCAGTGTACAATGTACTGATACATTGGCTGAGATGGAATATTCCCCGGTACTTAAATTCTACCCAACATGTGTAGCAGATGTTTAAGCAACTTTTAAGCAACTAAACCAGAACCTATAGCCATGCTGGGTAAAATCTAATGAATGCTGATGCTTTAAACTTTATATAGCTGTTAACATGAACATGAAAGTTTATGTTTTCATTTTTTTTTGTTTTAATTAATGTGTAGTATGTAAGTAATTAAACTACAATGTCTTTGTCTTTGCACTCACCATGATTTTTAATTAGCACTAATACATAGCAAATAACTTTTCTTGCCATGGTGTTTTTTGAACATAGAATATGTTTATAGAAACTTTATATAGCTGTTAACATGAACATGAAAGTTTATGTTTTCATTTTTTTTTTTGTTTTAATTAATGTGTAGTATGTAAGTAATTAAACTACAATGTCCAGTATTGTATTCTTCTCTAAGTATACATGTTCAATGTAGTTTGGCAGATAATCAGAAGATGAAAAACTTTTAACTACAACATCTGCACTGATCCTACCCTTCATTCTTTTCCCTTCTTCCTAAAGTTTGTTGTTACTTAAAGAATTTGAAACTCACCTGATCTTCCATCTCGCTGAATGTCCACATGGTGCCAGACCCCGTCGTTGACTTTGTTCTGCGTAGCTTTTACCTTTATTGTTCCCGATCCCATATCCAGCAGAATGTACAAGCTGCCATCCAAAAGCTCCACAGCAAAAAAGTCCACCTTGTTGCTTTTCTGGCTGCGGGCATCCCGCTTTTCTTGGGGCTTTCCTTGAGTGTAAAGAATCAGTCCATTGGGTTCAGAAGTACGAAAGTCAAAAGAGATGGAGCCCACACGTTTGGTGTTCCACTTGGGCAGGCTGAGGAACGACTCTGCTGTCTCAAAGGAGATGGGGTCTAGAGTTGGCACATTTTCACATTTGAAGACCACATCGCCCTGCAGCTTCATCTTGGGGTCCGCAATCCGGGCCAGACGAGACAGCTCCAGACGTATGTCATTGTTTTTGTAGACCACCTAAGTCCAAAGAATCATATTATGAGTGACACTGTCATAACTCCAGTCTTAATGTGTTTGCTATTATAGATCACCAAATAAGACTAAGCGTTTGACCACTGAAAACTACTGACATGTAGCTGTATGTATGCATTGCATATTATTATAGTAAGAGTTTGGTTTGTTTTTTGAAATTGTTTACTGGGGCAATCTTATCTTGCAAAACTTTTTTTTCTCCTACTACTGTATTTTTTTCTAAAAATATTCTTGGCCTACATGGCAACCAACAGAGATAATACAGAGAACATTTAAACGGACAACGGATGAAGTAGCACTATTTTAATAAGGTTGACCACAACCTTGTACTTCCCTGTACTAAGGGGAATGTGTTTAAGTTCTGGATGCCTCAGACACAGAGAGTCGCTAGCTCCACTAGCAGAGCCTTCACAGTGAGGTGAATAGATAATGTCTGATAGCAATAGTCAATTTTAGGATCAATTTTATGTGTCTCTCAGGTTTGTCTTACTCAGTAGCTGAGTTTCCATTCAAATGTTTTGCAAATTTTACACAAATTTCCAAAAATCTAGTTAACAGAAAATGCAAATTAATCAGTGTTTATATCAACTACTGTGAAAATTCCTGATGATAACATGACACGCTTGCATTTAATGAGGGCTAAAGTCAAAGCCAAACGCATGACTTCTGTCTCCGCTATGTCATTTCTTATTTCAAAATTTGTTGTTATCACTGTTTTTCACATTTCTCATTTCTTGCTAAACCAACATTTTGGAAAAAAGTTTTTACAAAAAAATTATTTTCTTTAATACTTTGGATATATTTAGAACAATCATCAAAATGTCTTAAGGGTAGGTTTTACCTAAATAATGAGCTGACAGTTTTGTTTTTGTCTAAATATGTCAGTATGATTGTTTAAAACACATAGTGAAACACTTGGCAGGCCCTACATTACGAAAGCTACTGGTTATTTTGTTACTTTGTATGTTGTGGCCTCTGTGTGTGCTGTGGCACAGCAAGGCTTTGATGCACTGCACATAGCTAAGCGTTTACACTAATCACAAGTTCAAAATAATCCAGTTCCTAAACAGCCAAATTGCACACAGTCAGATTAAACATAGATTTTACAATTTCCCACAGTATCCAAATGCACTTAGCTCAAGACTTAAGTACAGTTCATTCCACCAGATGAATACATATTTAAAAACAGAAAGTCAAAATAATTACTGATTTCCTTGGATTTATGACATTTTATGTCAAAATAATGTCTTATTTTTTCTTATTGTTAATTAATTATTTTGAAAATAAATAAGGCGCTGGCACTGAGCCTTGAGTTTTGTAGTTCAATTACATTTTAATCTTTACAGCTGTATCATTCAAATAAATATTATGCTATTATGTTGTATTCATAGCTGCTGTGCTTGCATAGTTGCAAAATGACTGTTCCACAAAAGTCCCAGTTTCCAGTCAATTTTAATCTGTTACCAAACATGTGCCTATGGTGAAATCAATAAAGATTCAAAATGTTTTGAACACAACCAGCAGATTATCTACTGAAGGTCTGTGATTTCCCAACTCCTTTCTTCTAATCAAGCACATTTTTGTAGGTAGCCATTGACAACCCAAAATCAGTAAAAAAAAATGTTCCTAAAAAATGTGGCTAAAGCGATTGCTTACTAGCTACCTTAAAACGTCAAATAAGCTCATCGTTATACACTGTAAAAAGTGGCTCATCAGACCTACCTAAAAAAATTACTTCATGTGGTAACAAGTAAATTAACTTGTTTTATTCAACCTAAATAAATACTTTGAATGAACGATTCTTTCAATCAAAGTATTTTTTGAGTAGAATAAAACTAGTTCAATTGCTTGTTACCACAAGGTTTTTTTTTAAGTAGAGCCATTACAGTGTACAGAAAACGTCTGTTCCTTGAATCAAACATGAATGCAGAAACCTTGTGAAGTTTGTTTCACTAACCTAATTAATATTAAACTAGAACATCCCTTTTGCAGTGCCAGCACCTTTGATCTGAAACTAGGACTGCTGAACATAAGAGCCTTCACATCTAAAGCCATCTTTATAAATGAAATTATTAGTGATCACCAGGGATTTAATGCTCTTTGTCTTACAGAAATCTAGATTACACCTGAAGAATACTTAGCTTTAAATGAGGCTGCCCCCAGGCTATAATTATGTACATAGAGCACATCTAAATGGCCAAAGGGGAGACACGGCAACTTTTTTTAGTGATGTTCTAAGCATTACTCAGAAACCAGGATATTATTTTAAGTCTTTGTGAATTGTTTCTCTTAACATTACTTATCTAGAAATAAGAAATCTTATCAGTCATTTTTTACTCATTACTCTGAAACCTTACTCCATAGGACTTTGCAGAAGTTTCTCTCTCAACAGAAAAACTAGTTGTCACTGTTGAGAAAGCTATAACCTCCTGTGGAAGTATGGAGTTATTGGTAATGCTTGCTTTTACAGTTCCTTACGTTTTAGGTATTAACCAGGTATGTCTGAAGTACAAATTCCAAAGTACTAGATAATTATTCTGCATAAAATTATGGTAAGTTCTAAGATAATTCTACTAAATTGCACTGAAATGTCCAAGACATTCTAGGTTGGGGCTATGTGCATGGTACCAACTCCAAAGTACCTGATAATTATTTGGGGTAAAATGATAAGAACTCAGTTAAGAACTAAATAACACTGAAATGCTGAAACAGGTTTCAGCTTTTACGCTGAAAAGGACTTATATCATATCTCATAATTGGATAATTATTTGGAGTAAAAAGGTGATAAATACCACCATACCCACACTAAAGTTCACTGTAAGGTCCCACATTTAAGCATAAAAATTAATTGGAAAAAGTGGTAAGGACCCAGTAGTTATTTTTTTTACAGCCCCGATTCAATTTCATTTCTTAGGTAACAGACAGCTGCATTGTATGTAAGACTTTTATGTCTTCAAACATCCTCGTATAGCCTTTTTTCTCCTTACAACTTTTTACAGTTTACTTTCTTGTTAAAACAGGTGACATTAACCCTGACTCCTAGTCTTCATCAATCTTAAATGTTCTCTTTATATCTAAGCTCATAGAGAAAGGTGCAGCTCTATAACTGAGCTCATTCTTGTACAGGGATCACACATATATATATATATTTTTTTAAATTTTATCGTCTCCAATTCCACCCGCTAGTTAGGACTCCCCCAATCACACGATACTATCAACGCTAGGAGGGTGAAGGCTAACACAGGCTTCCTCCGAGACCTGTGAAGCCACCGCTTCTTTTCGAGCTGCCGCTCACGCAACGTCACTGGACAGCTGAACGCGCTCGGAGGAAAGCGCCAACCACCAGTTCTGTTACGTCAGCTAACAGACGCCTGCGCTGACTAGCATCGCGCTGAGTGATGGGGGGGAGAGGGAGGGGCCATCCTACCCACCCAGAGAGAGCGAGGCCAATTGTGCTCTCTCGGACTCCCGGCTACGGACGGCTGTAGCATCACCAGGGATCTAACTCATGATCTCCTGATGACAGGGCCAACGCTTAGACGGTTGCAACACTCGGGAGCCCTGGGATCACATTAGACCATGGCTCTGCTGGTGCAGCATCTGACTCCACAGACCACAGATTCAAATAGGCAGGCTAGAAAATCTTGTAAGGGTCAGAGAAATTACACATTGTAATCTGGTCACCTAAACCACCTTTGAAAGTGGTCAGGGACGCATATTCATAACATTTACAGTGTGAACGCTAAAGCATGTTAATGCGTCTTCGACAGCAAGGACCACTTTAATCAGCTGCGTCATCAGCAGAGACTAAAGCAGCTGCTGTAGCTTTTTTCATCTGGATCATCTGTTTACAAGTCGTGTTAACAATTCATGTTGATCCCCGGTACATATTTGTCTGACAACAAACATAGTGAGACACTAAATGTGGGTTGTACTTTTCGTCCAGTCACGAAATCCAGTCACCGGAGATGTATTTGCGACGTGGAAATGCCAGGTGTGAATGGCTACATGTCTTAATGTCCACTTACAATCAGATCACTCGAGATGAATGCTAAAACCATGTGTAAAGGCCTAAGACTGACAGACCTAATAAGCCTGAGAATTGTGTAACTTTTACTGGTTCCAAAGACTGCTCGAAGCAAGCTGTATGATTATACATTAAATCATGATGGCTTTTTCAGCTCCATCAACTGTAACTGTGAAAAAAAACCCTGGCATTACTACTAACTATAATATATGACTTGGTGCACATAAAAGTAACATTACAAGAAAGCCTTCCATCATCTATCAGCTGTTTAAAAAAATAACTTACCATCACATCCCACTTAAAATTCTTCTAATTTGTGATTAACTTCATGATTGCAAACCCTGAAGTTTCCCACAGCTGCAATCTTGTCTTACACTTATTCTCAGGTTATCTTCCATGTTCTCATGTAATCTGCTTGATCTTTAAGAGACTTTTAACACTGGTCATTCTTACATTCTCACATGTCATTGCTCAGCATGAATGTCTATTTTTGATCTCACTAGTAATCCTAATTCCATTATCTGGCGTTACCCAGAGGAGAATGGGTTCCCAGTCTCAGTGCTTCTTCCTCATGCTCTTATTTTTATGATTATTGATCACAAAGTTATTTACAAAACCGCCATAAACCTGTGCCACAACAGAATATCCACACCAACCTACAATTAAGAGGAAGTTCTTTTCAGGTTGAGCTTGCTCACTGCTAAATCTAGATCTAGATGTGTTACAACTAGTGTTGCAACTATACCAAATCAGTATCGGCACCAATACTGGCACTTAAACGGTGGAAGGAACCACCGAACTCTCAGCGTAATGATAGCCTTTAATAGCCTTTAGCCTTGATTTAGCTTTTAGAATAGCAGTCCGCTAGCTGGGCCTGTGCATCCACTAGCCCTGCCTGAAACAACATTAAGCTCAATTTTTAAGCCAGAGACGCTGCTGTGTGCTGATGTGTAAACAC